AGCATGTTAGAGCAAAAATAAGGAATTGTGTGATCTGCAACCAGAGGACTTTCCTTATCATGATTATCATGGGATTTCTTTGTGATAACTTCTGTATGCTCCTCAACATCCCCATAGCCTTTGTCATCCTCCAACTCTTCTAGCGTGGTAGCAGAAAGGTAATCTTGAGCAAGATGTGAGCAAACTTGCTCCACCCACTCTGTTTGCTTCGCTGAGCGCTGAACAGTCTCCTCCATATCATGGAGAAATGAGGGATCGGAAGCAGCAAGGGCTTTGATTTGAAGATCCATCTTGGAGCATGATCTCTCAGTGTCTCGAGCAAACTGCTCCACGAGAAGCCTTAATTGTTTGTTCGGATCTTCCAGTGAAGTGTAGCATGGCTCTGCAGAGTGGCCCGTGAAGGCCGCCATGGGTAACTCCAGCGCCGATGGCCCTTCTGGTTGTGGGAGAAATTCTTCTTGATAATGAGGTTGTTCTTGATATGCCCAGGGGTCCGGTTGTTCTCCGTAGTAAGGGGGTTGGTACTGGAACCCGAATCCATAGTCTTCTCCTCCTTGATTGCTCCAGGGAGTCTCGGGGTAATACCACTCGGATGGTGGTGGATACCCCCAATGATTGGAGAAGCCATGAGGATCCATGATTCAAATCTGCACGAACAGAAACAAAAACACCCAAGTGAAAAGCAAGGGTGGAAAAGAAAAGAAAAGAAAAGAAAAGAAAAGAAAAGAAAAACACTAAAGTAACAAACTTCTGCCTTTCCTAATACTCTAGAAAGTCCCCGGCAACGGCGCCAAAAACTTGATACGCTAAAACACAACACCTAACAATGGCCAAGTGTAACCAATGAAAGCGACTGCAGTATAGTGGCACAAGTAATAAATATCGAATCCACGGGTCTCTAGAGTTACTATTACTCAGCTTCAGTTCATTATCTAGCAAACTAGATTAAGGATTGATTAACTAAACTACTCTACTAACTAAACTAAGTAAAACTACTAATTACAGTTTGGGAACTCACTAGGTATGATTCCCCCTAGCTCCTCAATTAGGTCCAAGTTGTAATTCCTTTTGGTTGTTTTACTGTTTATTAAACTGCGGAAGATCCGACAGTAGCTTGGAATCTCTTACGGTGACCAAGCCCTCTCAGTCTAACTATCCGGCCGACGACTAGTCTTCACCGGGATAGAAAGCTAAAGCAATAAGCACAGAACTCCACTACTGGAATTGGATTCCAGTACAAAGCAGTAAACTGACTAACTCTCGTATAGCCAATCTCCTACTAGCGAATGATGAGGCTCTAACAACCTAATCAGATTCTATGTATCTCAGGTTGCAGCAGAAATCAGGAAAAGTTGATCAGACTTCAATTGACTCAATAAACATGCATCAATCGATTATAATCAAACAATATAGAATCCAAAACTTCATACAAGAAAGATCCTAACTCATGGAACTATGGTTCCTCAAAACCTAAGTGAAGGGAAGTTACTCCATAGAGAAGAGAGAGACTGCAGAAATCTGATCTAGATCTTCAATCTCCATCTCCAAGCTTGATTCCCGAGCTCCAATGGCGAAGAAATCCCCCAAAATAGCTCCAAGAATGTTCCCAAGTCACTCTCTCTCTCTCTAGGGTTCGTCCCTTGGGTATTTGGGAACCAAAAACCCAGCTCTCCCTTTCCTTTGGCTCGAATCTGCCTCAAAAACCCGATTCTGGGTGAATTACGGGCTGAATTACGGTCGTAATTCTTCCATGCCCGTATTTTGCCCAAAACACGCGTTTTGGTTAAGTTTCAGCGCACCCAAAGCTCCTCTCGGCAGTGAAAATACGGGCATGGGAGGGGAAATTACGGTCGTAATTCTCCTGCCCGTAATTCTTCCTCCGCTCCTGTTCAAAGCTTCGTTTCTCCCTCGTCCGGACTCCAAATCAGTCGCCGTTTGAACCCAGACGCTCGTAGTCTCGTCCTTTTTCTTTTCATAACAAACTTCCATGATAATTTGTCCATTATATAAGGTAGAAATCCATTATTCCTCAGGTCATGCTCGTGTTTCTTCTCCTAAATTGCCAAATGATCTCCGATTGACTTGAAACTTGCGCCTACGCTTCACTTTATGTGCTAGGGCCTGAAATGTGACAAAGGAACACAACCTAGCGTAAAATAGGCCAAATAAGCGATAATGCAAGCTTAAACGATCAAGAAACAAAGGGGAAAACATGTGCAATATCGAGTCATCAATGATTGAGATATTTCGAGCTTACCTTGTATCTGGCTTGGTTTGCTTGGGGACAAGCAAACGGTTAAGTGTGGGGGAATTTGATAGCATCGTATTTGCACATGTTTTCACCCTTGTTTCCTGACCATTTTAGCTCGAATTTGTTGTTCCTTGGCCTATTTTACGCTAGGTTGTGTTGTTTTGGCGTATTTCAGGTCCTGGCAAGTAAAGAGGTGCATAGGCGCAAGTTTCGGGTCATTTGGAGGTCGGGTTGCGTTTTAAAGGGGAAATTACGGGCAGCCCCTGCACAATTACGGTCGTAATTGTTCCTGGCATGCTAATTTCCAGAATTCCTGTCGCAGAGTCAATTACGGGCAAGAGTCACTTTAATTACGGTCGTAATTCAGTAATTACTAGCAGTAATTGGCAAATTACGATCGTAAATCCTCTCTTCCGAATCAAGTGAAACGCGCGTTTTGGGAAATTAGGGCAGACCATGATTACAACCGTATTTCTGCCCGTAATTCTCCCAGAATCGGGTTTTTGGTCAGCTTAAGAGATTCCAAGCTACTGCCGGATCTTCCGCAGTTTAATCAACAGTAAATCAACCCAAGGTAATTACAACTGAGACCTAACTAAGGAGCTAGGGGGACTCATTCCCGAGTGACTCTCCCTTTGCTTCAGAAAACCGAACCATTTCCTGCTTTCTTACTGCTTTTAGTTAAAACCACAATCAATCGACTTAGTTGGCTAGATAATAGATCATCACGGAGTAGGCAATAGATCTAGACCCCGGGTTGATAAATAGAGCTTGCCACTTTACTACATTCTTGGACTGCGATTACACTTGGTCGCAGTTTGGTGTTGTGTCGTAGCGTGTCAACTACTTTTACTAAAATGCCCTTGATAAATAAAATACTCAAATCTTAAAGTGCAGCTGGAAAAATTTTACTAAATAAAATACTGAAAACACGCACTTGTAGTTCAAAGCAACGCCCTAACACATGGGCAAACTCAATACTTAAAATCTCAAAATTATCTCTAGTCTGTAATCATAATCATAAATGTAAATAACTAATAATCTCTAATGTTGTTGCTACTGAAACCTTGACTTAGCATACTCCATGACGCTTATACTGCCCTCCTCTAGCTAGCTGCCCTCAAACTCGTTGCTCACTAACTGCTCCTCCTCTAGCTCTTCAAACTGGTGAGTGAGATGGGGTCAGTCCACGCCCTTACGTTTTAACATCTTATTAATACTTGATCACTTTACTTAACTCAGTAGAAGTTGTTTTGTACTTCCACTATTAAAATCTTAACTCTTAAAACTGTACTCTTAAAGCTCAAAACTCTACCTAAATCTTTTGATTAACACGGGGATCCCTCACTAGCTAGTCTGGTTGCCAACTCATACGTATGAGAGCCCATCCAGGCTTTCCTTAAACTTAAACTTATCGTGGTGGCTCTTCACCACGATACTCAAGAGCATAACTGCAACTCATCTTAAAAATCTCACGAGCATAACTGTTGCTCGTCTTAAAAAGTCTCAAGAGCATAATTGCTGCTCTATCTCAAACATCTCAAATGGCAACGGACTGACGCTAGTGACTAAATACACTTAAAACGACCTCACCTTCTTAAAGGTGAGTTACTTCTTAAAAAAAGGAGAACTTGGTCCTTACACTTTAATAATAACTCCTAATTGCAAAGTTTTAAAGTAAATAACAACTCATACATAATCACTCTACACAAAGCTCAAACAAGGCACATATCACCAATCATAAACACAATCAAGCAATAACAATCACTTCATCAAAATACTTAAAGCTCGTCAAACTTGAAACAACACGTAAGGTGTAGAATTTACCCCCTTTACACTCACCTCGAAAAGATGACTCTGCTTCGACTCTGAAAATTCCAGAACTCCCTCCTATAATATTCCCCTTGCTTCTACAATTCCTTAGGCACAAACGGTTCCTCGTTTGGACGTCAATTGATCGAGTTATGACCAAAATAAACATTCTGTCGGTTTAAAAGTACCAGGTACCGAAATTGCAATTTTCCAGTCAACCTAGTTGACCACGACCCCTCTGTAAAATTTTCGAAATAATCCTCCAATTTTTTGAATTGTCCATAATGGTACCTGAACTTGACAGTTTTTCATCCAAACTTTCGATGCTCGTTTCACCCTCGTCCGACGTCAGAATCCGATTTCGTAGACACGGTGATGCTCTTGGGATCCTCCTCTTCGCAGTGATACCCACCACTTGATGTATGGTTGTATTCGACTACGCCGCTGTCGTCGACGTAACTTCCCAATGATCCTCCGACGAGGCATATGATGAGCGGTTGTTGGCCGGCGTTTGCTTCCCGGAGATACGTTGAGCACTGCCATTGTCGTTGGTTTCGCCGCCGGCTAGTCATCACCGCCTTAATGAGGGCGACGCGGGGATGTTTTCTTTTTTCCTTTTCTTTTGTCAGACGTGTGATGATGGTGATATAATAATAATAATAATAATAATAATAATAATAATAATAATAATAATATAACATAACATGTTACTATTATGAATCCTAATAGGGCTGACAAATGGTAACCCGGTAATCGGTTTACAGTTTTACCGAACCGATAATCATCGGTAAACGGTAAACCGATTAACGTCGGTATCGGTATCCGATTGCCAGTGGATGCGATCCAATTTACCGGACACAGCCTTGGTATTTACCGTCGGTAAATCGGTCATACCGAACTACCGAACGTTGCGTTTTGGCAGCCAGAGGAAACCTAATCAGCCCGCCAAAAGTCGCGCCTCCTTCCTACTTCGCCAGTTTGCTCCTTCCCCTTCCTCTTTGCACGCAGACGCAGAAGAGCTGAAGCAGAACGTCGCCTCCCCTTCGCCCGCCGCCTCTCCTTCTCTAGGCCGCTTCTCCTTCGCCCGCCGCCTCTGGTAGCCAACGAAGAAGGAGTCACGTCGAAGTGAGATTCCCCTGGGACTCACTCCCGCCTCTCTCCCTCGCCGATGCAGCCTCCCAGAGTCGGCCAGATGCCTGACCGCCACCTTCATCTGCCATTCCTCCTCCGCCGGCCGGGCCGCCACCTGCCCACATCCTCTGCTCCAGTGCTCCTCCAGCTGCGGGTTGCCCCTCCGAGGCCAACAGGCTCCAACAGCAAACCGCCCGAAGTCGCTTCCCAAGGTATTTCGGTAATACCGGTTTGTAACCGTTTACCGGTGATTCGGTAATCGGTAAACCGGTTACAAACCGGTATCGATTCCAATTTAGCGAATGTCGGTATACCAAAACCGGTAAATTCGGTAAACAATTTACCGTTTACCGACCGAATCCCACCCCTGATTCCTAATTTATGGTTGCACCGCTTCGTATGTAACTATTGATACAACCATTCACGTATTTTGGTCGAACCTGAACCCAAAATTCAGGGTGTTACATGCATTATTAATTGAGTCAATTGAAGGCTGATCGTCTTTTCTTGATTTCTGCTGCAACCTAAGATAGATAGAATCTGATTAGGTTGTTAGAGCTTCATCAATCGGTAGTGGTAGATTGATTATACGAGAGTTAATCGATTTACTGCTTTGTACTGGAATCCAATTCCAGTAGTGGAGTTCTGCATTCATAGCCTCAGCTTTCTATCCCGGTGAAGACTAGTCGTCTGCCGGGTAGTTGGACTGAGAGGGCTGGGTCAGCTTAAGAGATTCCAAACTACTGTCGGATCTTCCGCAGTTTGATCAACAGTTAATCAACCCAGGGTAATTACAACTGTGACCTAACTAAGGAGCTAGGGGGACTCATTCCCGAGTGGCTCTTCCCTGGCTTTAGAAAACCGAATCATTTCCTGCTTTCTTACTGCTTTTAGTTAAAATCACAATCACTCGACTTAGTTTGCTAGATAATAGATATTCACGGAGTAGGCAGTAGATCTAGACCTTGTGTTGACAAATAGAGCTTGCCTGTAACTGCATTCCCGACTGCGATTACACTTGGTAGCAGTTTGGTGTTGCATTTTAGCGTGTCAGAAGGCGACATGTCCGAACATAAAGTTTATCAGACAGATGCAAAGCTTGATGGTCAGACCCCTGGTCAGTGAAATGTTTCACTAAAGTGTCAGGAAAATGATCCATCCACCGTTGGGAACAAAGCGCTTTGTCTAGTCTTTCACGAATACATGCCAGCCCCATGTGTTTGTTTGTCCAAGTAAAAATGTCACCCTGGTACCCAGGGTCGTGCAACCCAAGATCGTGGACCATATTGCGAAGGCCAAAGTCTTGGGACGCATTCCATGGGTTGCTACCATCCTTCTCATTCTCCGACAATGTCACATTGAGGTCACCAATGATCACAAAGGGGAGCTGAAGTCCCTCACAGAGCGTACGAATTTGGATCAGTTGAGTCGCACGCAGAGCGACATTACAACTCAAATAAGCACAGAGCACCACATACGAAGAACCATTTTCATTAATTCTTGAACCAATACAAAAACTGGAATGAAAAAACACCGAAGCATCAACTCTGGGGGACCACGCAACTACAAGACCACCAAAACCATTAATAGCATCAACGAAAAAACACTAAGCAGACTCAAACCCTAACCCCCACAAACGACGGGAAACTACTCGTCTGGACGATCTTGTTTCTGAAAAGAAAACAAGGTCCGGATTATTCGAACGAACTAAACTAAAAGTTGTTTGGAATGTGAGGGATGGCCCAATTACTCTCACATTCCATGACAAAAGCCTCATTTATCTGATTGGGGCAATTTTTGGCTGGCTTCCTCCACCACTTCAGCTTCCGTGTTTTCTTCAACAAATTGCCTCTTCGGGGTGGGACTACTGATAGACCTTTAATTGCACATGTTTTTACCCCTATTCTTGAGCCGTTTGAGATGTTGATTCTCGTGTTTTAGGACGATTTCATGCTAGGTTGTTCTTGTTTGTGATATTTTAGGTCCTAGTACTTGAATGAAGGTTTGGGAACGAGTTCGGGGTCGATTGGACGAAGATTAGACATGTGGCGTGAAGCTGATGGAGCCACACGGGTACGCCTAAAACCTACACGACCGTGTGGCCTGGCCGTGTGGCACCAAATTGCACGGGCAAAGTCACACGGGCCGTGTAGGGGACCCCCTGTGACCGTGTGGAAATTATAAGGAACTCACACTGGTATCCTGGAATTCCACACGGCCGTGTGGGTCGTGGCCGTGTAGGAAGCCTGAGTCACTTATCAAAATGTCGCGGTTTGCACATCTCACACGGGCAACTGGGGATGTCACACGGCCGTGTGGCCTGGCCGTGTGAGTCAGGATTTTCTGGGTTTTAACCAAATGTTCAAAAAAGGAGAAAGGGGTTCCGAGTTTTAGAGAGAGAGTGCGACCTAGAGAGAGAAAGTGACGAACCTGACTCTGCAAGTGTCATAGCTCGATCTCCATCACCATTGGAGCCCGGCTTGAGCTTGGAGAAGACCCGATTGAGTGCTAGAAGCAGATTCCCATCCTTCACAGTATGGTTTCCGCATCTGTGCTAGATTTCTCATCTCTCTCAATGGAGTAGTTTTCTTATTCACCTGGGTATGAAGAACCCTAGATCTGTATGTTAGGTCTGATTGTATGAACCCAAGTACAGATTTTGTGGTATGATTATATTCAATTGAGGTTTGATTTGTTGAATGGCATGAATCCTGATCAAATTCCTGTTGTTTCTGCTTTAACCTAGAAAGAGAGTATCTGCCTAGGTTGATAGAGCACCCTTGATTGAAGGTTGTGAATTGGCGACTTTAGTCGAGAAGTCAATTCACTATTCAGTACCGAATTTACTTTAGTAGTGGAGGTTTGGTTCGTTAGGGCCTTAATCTGTTTAGTCCGGTGGAGGTTAGTCGCCCGCTGGGGACTCAGATTGAGAGGGTATGGATACCTTTAGTCGAGACTTTAGACTTTTTAAGAACCTCCCGCAGTATAACTATCATTGAAATTGAACTTGGTAAATTACAATCCGACTTAACTGCAGTCTTGGGGGAACCATATCCGGGTGACCTCTCTTGACTTGAAAACAACCGTTTAATTGCTTGCTTGTTTGCTTGTTTAGACCTGCATTAAAGTTTCACTGCTAAATAATAAGAACTCACGGAGTAGTCATCACATCTAGGATCCGGGTTGACATTAGAACCCAAACCCGCTATACTACGCTTTAGGAAGTGGTTACACTTGGCCATTTTCTAGAGTGACGGTAGGAGCGAGTCAAATTTTTGGCGTCGTTGCCGGGGACGGCTAGGTTGTTGAAGAAACGTGAATTCTGTTAATTTAGCTTTTCGTTTTAGCATTGTTTGCTTTGTCACACTTGTGCCTTCACGGGTTTGCTTGCTTGACTGTGTGCAGGTAGTGCATGACCCGTAGCCAGTCGGGAGGTTTACTGTCGTTGGATCCGGAGCTTGAACGCACCTGTCGCCAACTTAGGAGACAACAGCGAGCTAGACTGGCTACGGAGGAGCGCATAGACGGCCACTTGAGCAGCGATTCTAAGGAAGAGTACGAGATGGAAGGCGAACACCACCCACCCCAGGGGAATCCTCTCTAGGTTCCCCCGGTGAATCAGATCTTGGGGAACAACCCCATACCCCAGGCAGATGGGGTTCATCATCATCCACCGCCGCCGGGTCCCACCTTGGAGTACTACTACACTTCACGGGTTGCTGATATCCACCCTGTCATCCTCTACCCGCCCATTCCAGCGAACAACTTGGAGATCAAGCCATGCTGGATTCAAATCATTACATCATCTGTCCAGTTTCATGGCTTGAAGGATGATGAGGCAAGGGTGCACCTGTCCCGTTTCCTGCAGCTGACGAACGGGTTCAAGCTGAACGGTGTCCCTGATGATGCAATCCGCCTTCACCTCTTCCCCCATTCTCTGGCGGGGGCATGCTAAGAAGTGGTTGGAGACCCAGCCCCCATTGTCCATCACTTCTTGGGACGATCTGGCCGACAAGTTCGTACACAGGTACTATCCGGCATCAAAGACCACAGAGAACCAGCGGGAGATCACTCACTTCCTCCAGGAGCCAGACGAGTAACTTCGTGATGCATGGGAGCGGTACATGGGATTTTTCTGGCAGTGTCCCCATCATGGCTTCAGTGATGCATTCACAGCGGGGAACTTCTACAGTGCTCTCTCTCCGGAAAGCCAGAGGGTGGTTGAGTCTCTATGCCCGGGAGGGGATATTCTTACTAAGACTCCACCCAAACTGAACCAGATGATCAGTACCTTGGCTGACAGAGATCATTCATGGGGGCAGAGCACTAGAGGCAGGAATTCCCGGGACCGTGGTGTGCACGCCATGAAGGCCAGGTCCGGGCTCGAGCAGCAGGTGGCCGAGTTAGTGCAGACATTGAAGCAGCCCAACAGTCTTATTCCGGGCAGAGGTTTTGCTACACCTCTAGTAGCTCAATGTTAGTGGTGTGAGAGCTTAAATCATCAGGTGGAAGACTGCCAGGCTATGCGGGAGTCTTCTACTCCCCAAGAGCAGTTGGACTTCATCGCCAATGCTTGGCGCTTTGACCCATACAGCAATACATACAATGAGGGTTGGCGCCAACATCCCAACTTCGCTTGGACTAGCAACACCACTAAGCCATCTGGTTTCCCAGCACCAGCAGGTGGTTTTCAGCAGAGGCATCCTTTCCAGGCTAGACAGGGGCCAGTCCTCAGCAACAGCCTTACCAGCCGAGGCAGGGGCAACCATTTCAGCAGCCCCAGCGTCAATATGCCGAGCCAGCAGCAGCTCCGGCTCCAGATAATCAGATGACGGAGCTGAAAAATATTCTAGCGGCATTCATGACTACCAGCCAGGTGAATTTCACGAGAATGGACCAGAACATAGCCTCACTGGAGGCAGGCCAGAGGAACTAGGGTGCCATTTTGCAAGGTTTACATAACCAGGTTGGTGGCATAGCTCGCCAAATTAATATCCGGGCCCCTGGAACTCTACCTTCCACTACCATCCCCAATCCACGGGAGCCGCACCAGCAGCTGAATGCCATCACCACCAGGAGTGG